TTAGTTAATGTTACATGGGTGGATTAGAACAAGTCTAACATTATCTAGAAATAACATAATTGCAAACTCAAAATTAAACTATTAAACAGTAGGTATTAGTAGTATTAAACAGTAAATTAAGTACTATTATACTATTAAACAGGTCATAATGCATAAATTGAACATATTTTAAAACTAAAAATTCGGTTTGCATTCTCTTTTTGAGAATTTTTTAATTGTAAAAGAGGTAAATTTTTAGTTAATTTGTCATCTAGGATGATAGATACTGATTCAATTATTGTTTAATAATATCGTTAACATTAGTGGAACCCACAGCTGAAAGTTTAAACGTGTCGTGTTTAAGGCGGTATGTGTTTTTAAGGGAATTCTACTTGTGTACTAACTATCTAAAACTATACTTTTATAGTTTATACAATATTTACAATTTATATAAAATAAAAATTTGCGAAATGAAAATTCTGATTTTTTGCGCTCCATCGCCATCTAAAATCAAAAATTCCTGTTACAAACTAACAAAATCAAACCTTTAAAATCAACCTGTTTAAAATTCAATCCATCAGTATATATACTGATGTTATTATATACTTATTATTATTATATATATTGTTATTATTATACATATTATTATTATTATACATATTATTATTATTATATATTATTAATATAAATAATATAATATATATATATATATATATATATATATATATATATATATATATATATATATATATATATATATATATATATCATTTTATATATGTATATATTATATGTAATGTATAATAAAATAATAAGTTTACTTAAACAATTACTTTAAAAAAAAAAATATTGTTTATATTTTCCTGAGCTTTTTTTTTTAATATTAGTAAATATATTGTTATTTATAGGTTAATATACATAATATTGAATAAAAAAAGTTTGAAGGTTTAATGTCACTCTAACTGTTTCTCCGCTCAAGCGGAGCACTCCTAAAACACACGTTTTTTATGTTTTTTTTTGTTGTTGTTGTTGTTTTTTTCGTGTAGTATTCTTTAGATAATAATGAACCTTGAAAACAATTACAGTGGCATTATAAAAAAGCGTTTTTTTATAGAGTTAAGAGATAATTTATTGGAGAGGAGCCATTAAATAGGCACGTGTCTAAAAATTTTAAACTATTTTTATTATTGATTATTATATATCATTGAAAAGAGGCTAAAATCAGCATTACAATAGTGAAAATTTCATAACAAAATAACAATTTTACAAAAAGTTATGCTCATTTAAGTAACAAAATTTGATTACAAGGATTGCTTAAAAAAACTGCGACCAGTTTTAAAATATCAGTTTCGGCTAACGGTAGTTTTGTTATGGAACTTTGTTGCTAGAAGCGCAATATTTTGCTTTATCTACAATATTTTAACTTAGGTACATATTCTGCTACAAAAAATTAGGTGTCTGCTACATAATCTTTTTCGATAAAATTTGGTATGCACGTAGAAAATAAGTTTTTAAATTTTTCTCAATAGTTTCAAAAATGTTCTCAACATTCCTTCAATATTAATTTGACGTGTGATCAACAACGAAGTTTTTAAGAAAAGTAAATTCAATAAAAGCGGTTGTAACTTCAAAAAAAAACTATCCGAAAATGAAGTTTAACTCTTCCACTTTTCAAAAAAAGTCTATGCTGATATAAAATCCTAAAAAATAACACAACAAAATACATTCTTACAACTCAAACGCTAAGCACGCTTTGATAAAATGGTCGAAGATTTTGATTACATAATCGGTGCCGTAACTTATTGGATACGCACGTACCTACATTAAACAATGTTGGCTAGATCGTGGTTTATATTTTTAAGTTTTTTAAGTGGTTTGTTTATAAGGAACAAGTTGTTGTCACCTGGAAAGGGATATACTGTAGAAAATTTAAGTGAAACAAATCATTGAAAAATACGATTTTGATGACAAAAATATTTTGAAGAAACTTCTTAGAATTTCGATGACATGAAAACATTTTAAAAGTCTTTTGGGTTCTATTTTCAGAACTTCGACGAGCAGCCGCGGCGCAGTAGTAGCGTATTTGCCTCAGAAACAAACGATCCATGGTTCAAATCCCACCTCTGGGGACATCGGTTAGGAAGGAGGCGAAAACTTCAAATTAAATGCTCATCCGCGGTGCTCTGTGATAAGACCGTAAGGACTTCTTAGGGCACCTAAATAAAATTAAAAAAATTCGGGGCACCTAAATAAAATTAAAAACTTCGGCTTCATTTATTTTTGATGCAAGTGTAAAATTTTGTATAAATTTAATTAAAAAAACTGATTATTTCAAAATTCGAATAAAAAATGGGTAGAACAGCTAAAAAAAAGATGATGATGGGACAGAATAAGAAAAAACGGAAAAACACAGAAAGTTTGAGGTATATTTACCTACTGAAGTACCCACTGAGGGATTTACCTCAGAAATAGCTTCCATCTAATGGTGATATTCTAAGATACTATCAATTTATCCTTCGCGAGTCACAGGTTAAATACAAACCCACTTCTACTAATGTTAATTGCAAATTGAAATCGATCTTGTTTGTGAAAATGGTGTTTGTACACCATTTTCACATCCTGATAATTTTTGCTTGGTAACTAGGATTAAAAAAATTTGGGATAATGCTGGGTTTGGCAAAAAATTTGTGATTTCTGGGTACAATATAAAAACCAAAGTCATTAAACTTAACTTAAAATACAAAAATTTGATTAAATTGTCTTCTCTAAACTGGAACAGCAGCCTTGATAAGCAATTAAAGCTAGAGAAAGATTTCTCACAGAATCCTATTAGCTATTTGACATCTCGACTAAGAGTTTTGAAAAAGATATTCTTGCTGATAGATTGAAAACAGATGATGCCAAGCTGGAAGATATAAAGTAAGTTTATTAAATAAGACTTATTTTAGTAGTAAGATTTTCTTTCCGATTTAAAATAACTTAAGTAATAGCATATTATTTCCTTTAAAATATTTACGTTTAACTCTTTCCATGGTTTGGTCATCTTGCAAGAAACTCTAGAACAGTTAATAATTTATTAATAAATGTTTTAACGGATTTAAATATTTCTTAGTTTTTATCAAGACCAGAAGTTGGATAGGAAAGAATACATGGGAACAAAAGTCGATGAAGACTGCAGTAGGAGAGTACTGGATGCAAGTAGGAGAAAGAATAAACTAGATAAGTTTAGAGAGAAAGAGTTAGAAAGACAGAAAAACTTAAGAGATATCAATGTGTTTTCAAGGAATGATTATGGTACAGTTTGTAAGCTTGCCTCCTTCTTCTTTGGAGCGGAAGTACAAGATTTTAAGTTCGATCAACCTGGTGTCTTCCATGAGGCAAGATTTTTGAGCAGATGCAATCTACATTTTGACTCTTTATATTACCAAAGATATCAGTAATATCTTGACAGAAAAAGAAGTGCTGCAGTTAAAGGATGCAAGTTTGTTCATTGTAATTTGCTATGTTCCATGGTTTTTGAAAAGTTTTTTAGGATTTCTGGCTCCCTTCAATGATTTGAAAGCTATCCAGATAGCCTATGCATTGAGAAAAGTCAGTGAGAATATTGGAAATGCTTTTCAGCATGGGACGCCATACGTGGTACTTAACTCCACAACTTTTAGACTTGTCCTGTGACTTGGGGATAAAAAAGTTCCTACTGAAATAAAGTTAAGAATGCTGTTAGATAGGAATCAGTAGAGAGCTTTTTTTTTTTAGGACGCCATATTGAACAACCCTAATTTTAATAAGACGTGTTGTCTAGAGTTGAATTAAAAAATTTATTTTATTACTAAACTACTGAAATAAATATGTAATATGTAACAATAATATGAAATAAATATGTAACAATAATATGAAATAAATATGTAACAATAATATGAAATAAATATGTAACAATAATATGAAATAAATATGTAACAATAATAATGATAGTGTAGTATAAAAATATATAGCATAAATGTATATAAGTTGCATAACTTTTCAGCATCTGCTTTTATGTTGTTTCTTACAACATAAAAACTGAAAAAGTAATGCAATCTTAGGATTCCTACCGTTTCCTTTTAATGGCTTATACAAAAAACTATTTACAAAAACGATCTACAGCAGTTGTAGATCGTTTTTGGCAGTTACTGCCAATGAATTAATTTAGTTGATATGTACAATGAATTATCTAAGTATAGATTATAAGCACTAGTTTCAACTTAAATTTATTATAACCTTCTTTCGAAAAAATTGTTTTAAAATACATTACAAAATTTAAAATTGATTTTATCACTATGACTTTTATTATTATTATTATTATTATTATTAAATTTTAATAAATACTAGTGTTGTTCCTTATTATTATTGTTTTACATTATTGTATAAATATATTCCTAATAATTACTCATTAATATTTTATGATTATTAATATCAATTTAATTTGTATTTTCCTTATATTAATATTTTTATTGTAATATCAGTTATATAATTATATTATTGTAATATCAGTTATTACTAATATTATTTTGATATTATTACTATTATTATCATTAACTTGTTATTATTATTGAAATTATTTTGATTTATAGTTATTTTTTATATTCTCGTTGTTGGTATTATTTTTGTGGTTAACATTGTTATATAACTTTTACAGTTACTATTATTTCTTCCTTTTCTTATAATTATCACCTTTTATCTGATTTTTACTTTTCTCTTTATTATCACTATTTATTATAATTAAATTTGATAGGTGTTTACTTGAGATTAGTATCACTAATATGTAATATGTAATATTTGTAAATATCCTTGATATAAGATCTTTTATTCAGAATAAATTTGATTTGATTTAATTTTGATTTAGGCGTAAAAATATTTTTTCACCCGCCTTCAAAATGTCTAGCGACGGTACTGCTAGTAGCTATAGAATTGTCGTTATGTAGTAGCTAGTGACAAAGCCAAGATATGTATTTATAGAATTATTGTAATAACATAAAAATCAATATCTTTTTACAATTTTTATAATAACTTCATATTTAGACTATAGAACAAGAAAAATAAATGAGTTGTAATAAACTCAAAACGACAGTAATGGTGAGCGCCATAATCCCTTTAGGAAAAACGTCATACAATTACCATATATAGGTCAGCAGATCTCGGAACATTTACGGTGTCACTAGAGATATTATCATGATATATTATCAAGAAATAAAAAAGAAAAGATGGCTAGTAAAAAAAAGTTAAAGTTATATATAAATTTATCTCACAATTTACTGCTAATATAATGTCTAAAACCCTTAAATTGAAGTGTTTTCTTTATTTTGTCAGATGGACCTGTTCCTGTATTATATATACAAAAAGTATTTTTGTTTATATACAAAAAATAGTTAAGTTTTAACTAATAAAAGTAATTTTGCTTCAACTACGAAGTGTTTATTAATGTACAGCAAGTTAATAACATTTGCGTACAGTAGTCACACACTTCTTACAAAAACTTAATAAGGTAAATATTGGTTTTACTAATATACAAAATATCAAGTCATTTCTACTTATAAATTTATTTAGACTAAAAAGACCATTGTAGTTGAAACTTTTTATTTTATTTTTTGTCACACATTTGAACCGTTGTGAGTTACTAACTAGATTTTACTTTATTAAAAAAGCTGTTTTGATAAAACATAGTTGCACTAAATTGGAACAAAAAAAAACAAGCAGTTGTACTCAATTTATATAATTTCATTTTTATATAAATCTTATATTGTTGAATTAAGAGCATATATTTTTTATAATCTGGGTTAGTTTATTATATAGTTTATACAAATTTTAAATAATATGTTTTTAAATGTGAGGATAAAAAATATATAACCCTTCTTTCAAAATAAATATGTTTTCTTGGCCAAATTTGGTCAAGATTTTAATTTATTCAAAATGAAAAATAATTATTTTAAGTTTTGCATAATTTTTATTGTTTTTGTTTGATTTTTTGTTAACTTATCTTGTCTGATATTTATGATTATTATGTGTCTGATTGCGTATATTGCAATATCTTCTCCATGTTGTTTTCAAAATTAGTTTATTTAATGTGCCTGCTATTTCTTCTATATTATGAGATAAAGTTTTACCAGATCAGCTAATCTCAGCGATTATTATATTATCACTATTCTTTTTAAAATTACCTTTTCTTTATAGAAAACCATTTCATTATAGAAACTACCAAGACTGTGTTTATATTTTTCATTAATTCTTTTGTAGCATTTAATACAATCAGAAAATTTGAGGTAAGAAGCAGCTTTGGCTTCAGGTTTATCTTAAATCTTTTATATCTTCCCCACAATTGCTTTGTTGTTTATTATTTTATTTGTGGAGACACGATCAACACTTTTATGCAGTTTAGGAACAAATTATATTATGCTGTTGTTGAGTAAAATCGTGAATGTGTACCAACAATGTTCTATATTAAACATGCTTGAAATAAAATATCCTAATTTATTGATTTCAGATTCATTGATACCTTGGTTACCTGTTTTTGCAATTATAGGATTGCTGAACACGAACTTCATTATTTTGCAAACAGCTAAAATTAGGAATAAATAAAACTATATAATGGTTACTACTTTTATTTAGTAGTTTATTGTAGAAATAATTCACAAAGCTCTGGTGGTATATCCAGTTTTACAAATTATATAAAATCGCAAAAAAATAGCTTAGCATGTCTGCTACCTTAGTCACAAATTTCCTGAGTAATACTATGAATTGCAGAGTAATACTCAGAAAATTTGTTATCAAGTAAATTGTTATTTAACAGAGTTTCAAAAACACAAAAATAATCATGATTGTGCAATTGAAACAGCTAAACAGCTTGTAATTCTATAAATTTAATGATTTAATTGTGAATTAAAAATGAATGCCATACTGAAAAGAGATCATTATCTGTTATTGTTTTATTCATTTTATTTCTTTTAATTCTGAGATTAAAGTCTTAATTATAGATTAAAGACTTGAGATTAAATTTAATTAAAGATTAAAAATTTAGTTGTAAATTTAATAATAAATGCCTTACTGAAAGGGATCATTATCTGTATATATATATATATATATATATATATATATATATATATATATATATATATTATATATATATATATATATATATATATATATATATATATATGTATATATATATATATATATATATATATATATATATATATATATATATATATATATATTAGGGTGGTCCATAAAACAACTTTTTTGAGAAAAACCTGCTGACACCCCCTAAATGTGTTTTATCTAATGCAAAAACACTAGGTTTAAAATTTTTTTGAACAAAAATTATTTTTAGGGGTAGCTCAAGGCCCTCAAAAATTTGACGGGTCCCTAATATTTTGAAAAAAAAAACTTTTTCTAAAGTATGTCAACCTGGTACTCAAAATAAGCAAAATTATATAAAAAATTTAAAAATGATAATAATTTTTTATAAAAATAATTTTTTTAGGTATAAATGCATAAAAACTATTGTTTTTAAGCTGAAAATAAAAAAAGTCAATATTTTCAGGTTTTTTGAGAATAATTTTTTTTAGGCATGTTTTTTATGTATATATATATATATATATATATATATATATATATATATATATATATATATATATATATATATATATATATATATATATATATATATATATATATATATATATATATATATATATATATATATATATATATATATATATATATATATATATATATATATATATATATATATATATATATATATATATATATATATATATATATATATATATATATATATATATATATATATATATATATATATATATATATATATATATATATATATATATATATATATATATATATATATATATATATATATATATATATATATATATATATATATATATATATATATATATATATATATATATATATATATATATATATATATATATATATATATATATATATATATATATATATATATATATATATATATATATATATATATATATATATATATATATATATATATATATATATATATATATATATATATATATATATATATATATATATATATATATATATATATATATATATATATATATATATATATATATATATATATATATATATATATATATATATATATATATATATATATATATATATATATATATATATATATATATATATATATATATATATATATATATATATATATATATATATATATATATATATTAGTTTCATGCTTCAGTTATTATTATTTAGCAAGTGTGCTGTGTATACATTAGGAAACAAAATTTCAGTTCTGGCATCTTAACTTTTTCTATAATGGCAGTCTAAAGTTGAGATTTTTGTTTTTAAAATAATTTTTTTTGTGATTTTAATGATCTTTATCTTGAAAACTAGTTAAAAGATTAATAAAAATCAAATTGCCTGCTAATCTACGTGTGGTGGATAAACATTTAAAAAAAAATCAGTTGATTAAAGAGCTGCATTTAAAAGTTATAGGTCTCCAAAATAAGTCAGATCGAGATTTTCGTAAAATTGATCTGTGATGCAAAGCATCTGTTACCTAAGATGGCACTTTTTTTTTTCATAAAAATTTTTATATGCATCAATTAAAGACTGTTAATTAATAAAAACCAAAAAAATTAATGGGCGCTTATTTATAACCCCAAAAGGTAGTCTCTAAAAGTCAGGTAAATTTTCCATAAAATTCTGAAATTGACATAATAAATAAATGCATTGAATTATATAATGTTATTTATTATGAAATATCAATTAAAAAATACCAATGTTTATAGCCTTATAATCCCTTTTGATAAAGAACTTTTAAATCCCAATAGATAAAGTCTCCTCCCCTCTGTCCCCTCCTCTCTTTATAATACAATTTTTTTTTAATGAAAAACAAACAAAATGTTTTTAAGAAAATAAACAAAATTAATAAAATTTACAAAAAGTTAAATTTCTCAAATAATAAAATAATCTCATTGATTTCTTTTAAGTCAATACTATAAAATCTTCCATTGTTTGACTGGACTTTAAGAGATTGCACTTAAAATATGCATCAGAGGTACCCAACAAAGATCATCTCTGCATGGCCACGTGAACTTGTTACATAAAGACTTTTTCATGAATTTCATATTAAGATCTTGATGCTCTTCTGAAATACTAAGAATATTTCCTAAATACCATTGAGCATCGTAAACGCAGGCCACATATTCTCCTGGTGAGTAACTTGAAATTTTATTAATAAAAATTCTGCAAGTAGAAAAATCCACATTAGTGCAAATAATATCAAATGAGACTCTTCTTATCTTTATTGAGGTAAGTGACATTGGGATAAAACTGTGGTGGTTTCGTGTCCCAGGTATTGTAGAACAAGAACAATATCTCTCTTCCAAATTGAAGTTTGTAGTACGTGTTTCTATTGAAACTTTGTCAACAAAAAAAAAAGATATTCCTTTGGCGTGTTGAACACACCAGCTGTACATTTTGCTTGGTGTGTCAATAGGATCGTTTAGTGATTGTAGACTGGCTCGTGCAACAAGACGTTTCACTGTTTCACCAACACCATCACAAGGGCTTTTACCATGCGATGTTGCAAAAAAGTGCTACTCTGCAGTCATGTCAAAATCGTGTTTATGGTAGCATAAGTTGATAAGATTTTTGTAATTTTTATAATGTGATGCAGCTCCATCACTAAAATAGATAATGTGTTCAAATGTTTGTAATTGTTTAAGTTTATCAATAACATTACCGATAAAGCAATGAACAGCATCTGTTCCATGTTTCAGATGATCTGATATAACACAATAACTTTGACTATCAAGTTTTCCATCTTTTTTAAATAACGCAACAAAGGGGTGCACAGTTGCTTGGCTGTTATTCCAGTGAAAACCTTGCACTGCATCCTGTATTAGAAAACTATAGTTTTCTGCAAAGTCAAGAAGAACCAAAGCTTGATTTTCTTTTAAATTAGTTTTCAAATGTTGGTGGCTTGACTTTTGGATATAAAATGATGCTCTCATAAACTGTTCATAAACCATTTCAATAAATTCATCTAAAGGTAGAGTTGCTGGTACTTAAGTACATTGGTAATTTGATTTTTGCCATTGATAAAAGTTAACTTCACTAATTTCATTTTCTGTAAACAGTGTCAATGTAGTCTAACAAAACCTTTTTAGCAGGACATTTATCGCAGCTATGCAGCATACAATCTCTATTTTCAATGCTACAAACCATTAATTTCAATAAGATTTTGTAATAAGCAATTCCAGGAATTTTCTGTACAAGGAGCTTTACATTTTGATGGTACTGGCAAACACAAACTGCATGCAGACCAGAAGCACCACCCACAGGAATGCACCACTTGGGCCTTAGCTCACAAAATTTTGAAAATCCAACTTTAAGATAATTATATTTCTTTTTAAACCCAATATGTAGCTCTTTCATATTGACTAGAAGAAGTCGCTTTTGGATATGTTGCTTTATACTATCTACTTTAACTGAAACAAACTCTTTTTTTCCTGGACAAACCCTTGAATATTCATCGCATTCATAGAAATGAACAACCTCTGTAATTACATCTTTGCTTAGTTTTCTACCCAATTTTGAAGAAGGTTTTGATAGTATTCCACTTTTTTTCCTTAATTTTCTGGCTTGTTCTACAGATCTTTTTGAAGTCAAAAAAAACTTCTGAGTTTTCTCTATTGACCAACTGTCTGGAGTGAGTGTAAGAAGTCTGATTTTTTCAGAATTTGACAATGTTTTTTCAAATTTTGACTTAATTTGAGTCATAATATTGTCTAAATCTGTGTTTGTTTTTTTCAAACATTTTTTTGAGGGTGATTCAATTCCACCAAGTGCAGCTATTTCTAAACATAGCACATTGGCAACAGCTTTTGTGTATGAGCTCTTACGCTATCAATTTTACGCTTTCCATATGCAACTTTTTTTGAAACAAGTTTGAGAGGTGAGCATCCAAAACTTGCAATACTTGAATTAAGATCTTCTTTTAATGTATGGTTGTCAACATAAATTTCTTTTTCTTGGACTTCATTTTCTTTTGCATTATGTTTGCAATTCAGAACTTTTCTGCTACTAGTGCAAATTTTTTGACCAGGTATTAAACCGAAATCTTTGGCATATGAAAGACTGATAACTCTAAGAGAATCTAAAAAATAACGGAAATAATTATTAAATATTGTTTTTTTTATTTATTTAGTGTTATTAAGGTATTTTTATTAAATTATAATATTAAATATTGAAACTTACTTTTTACTTTTTTTGCGTGCTTGTTCAACAAATTATAACAATACCTGCGATGTTCATTCTCATACCTCGACCAGTAAACTTTCTTGTGATAGCTACAAATAAAATCTATATGATTTATTTTGCTTCTCAAAGAAATAAGCTCTTGGTTTAGTGTAGACAGTTCTTGATAGCGTTTACTTTTTTTAGATAGATAGCACTGTTCATTTAATGCTTTACCAATACAGCAAGTAGAAAGCTCAGGCATATTACTTATTATTAATTAGTTCTAAAATACAACAATTTATTTGGTTTTATTAGTACTTTTTAGATTGACATACTAGTAATATAGAATTAAATGAAACAATAACTTAACTTTTAAAAAGTAATAATTTTTTATGGAAAATTTACCTGACTTTTAGAGACTACCTTTTGGGGGTTATAAATAAATGCCCATTAATTTTTTTGGTTTTTATAAATTAACACTCTTTAATTGATGCGTATAAAAAATTTATGAAAAAAAAAAAAGTGCCATCTTAGGTAACAGATGCTTTGCATCACAGATCAATTTTACAAAAATCTTGATCCGACTCATTTTGGAGACCTATAACTTTTAAATGCAGCTCTTTAATCAACTGATTTTTTTAAAAATGTTTATCCACCACATGTAGATCAGCAGGCAATTTGATTTGTATTAATCTTTTAATTAGTTTTCAAGATTAAGATCATTAAAATCACAAAAAAAAATAATTTAAAAACAAAAATCTTAACTTTAGCCCGCCATTATGGAAAAAATTAAGATGCCAGAATTAAAATTTTTTTCTTTTTCCAAAGTATTTACAGCACACTTGCTATCTTATAATAACTGAAGTATAAAACTAAATTGTTCAAAAGTTATTGGCTGTTAAAAATGATGAAAAAAACCTTTTTTCTTGTAGAGTGAAGTTTTATGCAAAATAGCCCACTACTTAAATAGCGTTTTCTCAAGAACCATATTAGATATTGATCTAAAATTTTCAAAACATGCTTATAACATATACATGTACAAAATAAAAAAATTTCAATAAAATTTGAGATGGTCCATGAAGGACCTCATTAAAATTTGCACCACTTGGCACTGATTGACCCATATATATGCATTTCTGATGAGTCTTTATTGATGAAAAAAATTTGTCAAGTGATTTTCTACTAATTAATAATTGCTCTGTTCTTTTAAGAACATTGAGCATTTTTTTTTTTGTAGAATACATTTTTAAAATTGTTTAAACACACACACACACACACATATATATATATATATATATATATATATATATATATATATATATATATATATATATATATATATATATATATATATATATATATATATATATATATATTTATAATAACAAAATGTTTTTTATTCTTGACATGTTTCGTAAAATTTTATTTACATTTTCAAAAGAGTATTTTACAATAATAAAACTCTGAAATAAATATTAAAGTCTTTACAGAGAAATAATAACTGACAAAAATTTACATAATGAACCAATATATTTATTAGAAAATAACTGGGTAAATAACCAATCAAAATAACTAACTGTCAAAAAAAAAAAAAATAATGATAAACTGACAGTAAAATTAAAAAGATTAGTTTATAGCATATTGTGAAGTTTGTTTATTAAGTGAGGGAGTTTTCCATTTAATGTAGAGGGCTTCTTTTATCTTTAATTTGTGTTTGGTTGGGGCATTATCTAAAATCTCAAAAGAATCACAGTTAGCCAGATTTTTGCAATTAACAGATAAATTTAAGTGTTTGAATATATGCAATATTTATGAACAATTTTTGAAATTTTCATTTTAGTATAATTAGAGTATATTCCAATGTACGGAAGCTTAAAGTATCTTATATTTAAGCTATTAACAATGTTAGAAACAGATGGGTTCATTTTCTTTTCAATATTGGATTTGATTTCAGAGTCAATAATTTTTGTGGAAATTTATCATTTAGTAAAAGTAATGATAGATTCTTAATATCTTTATCAAAACCAACCCAAGTATTATTAATTTTAAATGTACGATCAATCAAACAATGAACAATACTGATAGTGTTCAAATCACCGAGAAAAAGACTTCCTGATAACCTACACATTAAAATACTGAGGTTCAACCAGTAACTCATGTTAAGCTATTAGGAGTCACTATAGATCAACATCTCCAATTCAAAGAACAAATTGATACAACCGTTAAAAAATGCCACTCTAGTATGGGATTATTAGCAAAAGCATCTGTCAGGCTTCCGAGGGAACTTTTAAATATAGCCTATAAAGGACTTATACGGAGTCAATTAGAATATGCCAGTATATTATACCTAGGTCAATCCAAAGCGCAACTAAAGAGACTTGACATAATACAAAAGCAGTGTGCCCGTATCATCTGTCATAAACCAAGAAACACTCATTTGGCTCCCCTTTTGGACGAACTAAAGCTGTGCACCTTGGGGGAAAGAAGAAATGTTCATGCAACAAGAGTAGTCAAGTCGGCATTGTCGGGAGTATGTCATCCATCAATGGCTAAAATGTTTAAATTCAACGGTGACTTGAACCTTATCATTAAAAAAGCGCCAAACCGACAAGGTAGTAAAGGCTTCGATATTATAGGGGCCAACTTATTTAACGGAGTTGTCTCTTAATATATCTAACGCGTTATACCATTGGCATATACTACTCAAGCAGTGGAAGAGGAACCGGAAATAAAAGAACAAAAAAGTTTACTGATTTTATATAAATTATAAAGATATTGTATTTATAAAGGCAAAGTTGTTCAACTGTAATTGAGTTTAAATAATAATAAATAATAATAATAATAATGATAACAAGTCCAAATTTGTAGCAAGAAGGAATAAAATTTTTTGTAAAAGACCTGTATATGTTTTTTTGTGATAAACTGAAGTCAATAATGAATTGGATTTTTTAATAAGTACATCTAAAAAGACAATTTGTTTATCTTGTTCTTTTTCCATAGTAAATTTCAAATTTTTATGTTGTTTTTTGAGTTGTTTGAAAAATTCTTGAGCTTCATGTTCAGAATTAAAAATGGCAATTTTATCACCCACATACCGCTTATAAAATAGTGGTGTTGTAAAGGAGCAGTTATTGATCCATGTTTGTTCATGAAATTCGACAAAAATATTAGCTAAGATGGGCGCTAATGGAGAACCCATAGCAACACCATCCGTTTGATCGTAATATTTTCCGTCAAATAAAAAATGTAAACCGGATTTGGAAATCTGAAGTAATTTTTTAAACTGAATTTTTGAACTATCTTTACTAACTTTATGTATCTTAGGGAATGTATAAATTCTTGCAGGTTGAGATCCTACAGGATAGATTTTAGTGTAAATGTCTTTTTCAAAACATTAAAGCTTATAAAGTTTTCTAAGATACCCTTGTAAAGATATTTCTCTTTTTATAGTTGGATCCTATTTTAATTCTTTAAAGTTAGTCTTATTACTTATAATATTATGTAATAAATTTATATAATCAACTTTATAAGTACAATTTTACCATTTCCTTTGTCGGGTTGTGTTATAACAATGCTCTCATTATTCCGAAGTCTTTTTAATATTTTATGTTTTCTCAGACAATTTTTAGATGGAGTGTATTTGTATACATAATTGTTAGCCAAAAAGGAAAGTTCACTTTTAAGTTGAGGTTTTGATTTATTGTTTTTTAGTTGGATGTTGAGAAATTGCAAAATACAATCAAATTGAGCAGATATATCCGTCTTTTTTATAAATGCTGGTGGCAAAGCGAAACCATTGTTTAATAAATCAAGTTTATCATGTTGTAACATATATGAGGATAAATTTGAATAACATTTTGGTGCTTAAAAGGAAGACCTACTGATTTTGTGAGGGAACATAATTTCTTTTCGTGTGTTTTAATTATTGAAATTTCTTTCTTTTTTATATTGTTATTGATTACCATAGTTAAAAGATACCATTGCAAAGTTGAACAGTTTTTTCTTACTTGAGATTTTAGATTTTCCAGTTCTTTGTCCAGTAACTTCTTTTCGTTTATTCTTTTATGTAAAACACTTTTAAGCAATCGCTTTTTAATCAAGATTATATCATTATAATTTGCATGTGGTACGTTGAATCCAAGATATTTTGGATAGACTTTAAATAGCTTGCAATTTTTTAAAAAGTTTATGTCTAAGTGAGCTTTGTTGCTTTTAATATGAAGTTTTTCAAGTTTTCGTAAAATATGCAAAGTTAAACCTGCTTATGAAGAGTTTGCTAAATCGTGAAATATATTTTGTGATCGTCATAATAGCATAAAATAAGTAATTATTTTTTAAAATAACACAATGTTTTTTATTCTTGACATGTTTTGTAAAATTTTATTTATTTTTGATTTATTCAGTTAGTTATTTTGATTGGTTATTTTCCGAGTTATTTTCTAATAAATATATTGGTTTATTATGTAAATTTTTGTCCGTTATTATTTCTCTGTAAAGACTTCTATTTTTTAATATTTATTTCAGAGTTTTATTATTGTAAAATAATCTTTTGAAAATGTAAATAAAATATTATGAAACATGTCAAGAATAAAAAACATCGTGTTTTTTTAAAAATTAATTACTTATTTTATACTATTATGACGATCACAAAATATATTTCACGCTTTAACATACTCTTCACAAGCATGTTTAACTTTGCATATTTTATGAAAACTTGAAAAACTTCATTTTTTTTTTTTTTTTTTTATGTCTGCAAAAACTCAAATGGCATTCCCCCCCCCCTCACCCAAGTGACACCATGGTATAAAGCTGACCTCATTTCTATGTTTTATGGTAACCTCTTTATGTCAAAATGATTGCCTTTAGGCATGAAACTATTAGTACCATAAAAAGTTGTATTTTCTTTGTTTACAAATTTATATATATATATATATATATATATATTATATATATATATATATATATATATATATATATATGTATATATATATATATATATATATATATATATATATATATATATATATATATTATATTATATATCTTTGCGTATTTAGCCTTATATGGAATTCTGTTGATTATATATAGATGTAGTGACCTTTAAAGCAACATTTTGAATATAATAAAATATAAAATATTGGCTCTTTATCTTATAGAAATAAGTTTTAAAAAGAAATTTTAAAAAGTGTTATTTTATTTGAAAAGTGTGTAAATTTTTAAAGCTTAACTTTTAATAATTATTTTTTATAATGTATTATTAGTGTCATTATATGCACCCCTACAGTAATAGATACTTTAAAACAATATTTTTTGACAGAATTATTTAATTAAATTATATTTGAGGGTATGAACCAAAGATTAGGCTTTCAAAATGTTATCAATGGTCGAAACAATCATTACAGATTAGGAGTACGGAAACCAGAAGTTTCAAGAAATATACCTTCAGCTTTTTTTGGACTTGTTGCTACTGGCTTATATATTGTTTCAATGGCTGAACCTAATTGGTTTCGTTTAGAAGGTGCACTATGTTCAACTGAGCATTTAGGATTGTATATTATATTTGGAAGTCAGTCTAAACACTCAGATGGTAATATTTAAATGCTCAAGTTTTATCTATTATGTTTATTAATTGACTTATCTTTTTTGTTTATTTTTTTATCTTTATTTTCATGCAAAATGTACATGGATAGCCATAGGTGTATATATATCCACTCATATAGCCATTGACATAACAAAGTGTATGTAAATTAACTTATATACACATAAGCATAGTGGGTTGTATATACATTGACTAATTATAGTCTCCCGACACATGTTGTGTTCATATTAAAGATAATGTTAAAAAAAAAGGTTTGAACCAAGTTTTTTTTGATTAAAAATAAATAATGAATACTTACCGTGAAAAACAAATGTTGTTGTTTTTGCCAAAGTATTGTACTTTGGCAATTCCTTTGAAGCGCGTTTAATTCATAAAAGTTTTAGTATTTGACGTCACTTAGACTTTTAACAAAAGTAACTCTGGAAATATTTTTATTTATTTTTATTCGAAATTTTTTTGATTATATGTTTAGTTTTTTTTTCTATTTTTAACATTTAAAAAGATATTAAAAACCTCAAATACTTTAAGCTGGTTCGTTGCTATAAATTGTTATTGTGCCATATATTTAATGTTTATAAATTATGAATATTTATTATCTCAATCAAGACTCTG